TGTTCTAGCCATGCCGAAGTCAGAAATTTTGGGATTCATTTCACTATCGAGCAAAACATTGCTTGCTTTGAGATCCCTATGGATGATCCGCAATCTAGAATCTTGATGTAAATAGACAAGCCCTCTAGCAATTCCACAAATAATGTGAAAACGCCTTGGCCAGTCTAATAGATTCCTTCTTGTATGGTCTGTCACATAATATGTTCATCCTATTAATGCAGCATTCAGCTACAGGTTTTGAAAAAGAGTTGCACTGAATAATGAAAAGCATCGCAATGAATTTATATACTTCTACAAAGTTAATTGAATTAATGGTTTAACAAGAACCCGAACCAAAAATGAAGAAGTCCAAACTTTTATTGGGCATATATTCGTAAATCAACATTTTCTCCTCCCCCTGAATGCAGCATCCTAGAAGCTTTACAAGATTTCGATGTTGAAGTTTGGCTATAAGTGCTACTTCATTCCTAAACTCAGCTATTCCTTGTCCAGAGCTTCTTGAGAGCCTCTTTACGGCAATTTCTTTTCCATCTGGTAGAGTACCCTGCAAAAGTGTACTTATAAAGTTGATTATTACTTTTTTGACAAAGATTTGTTATCCTAATAGTCATTTTTCCTAGAGCACTTAAAATTTACCTTGTATACAGGCCCAAAGCCACCTTCTCCTAGTTTGTTGTTTGAAGAGAAGTTACTGGTGGCATTCGATATTAAATCTAACTCGAAGGATGGGAGCTCCACATCTTCAATTTGTCTTTCATCACTGCTGCCATTTTCTCTTGCTGAAGGGATGAAGAATTTACCAAAAAAATCAAATGGTGAGAAAAGAACCAGGGGAAGTTTCTTTCAATATTTAATGGAACATGATTTGTCAAGTCAAAGAAGCATAAATACCTTCTATGTTTCGATGGCTCCTTCGAATGTAGTAGGTGATTACAAGAACACCAACAACTACAAGAATGGCAGTTGCAATTATCAGTCCAGCCATCATTTTAGTTGTGCCTTTTGTTTCTTCGTGGTCTAATTCAATAAAGCAAAGAAGAAATATATGAATGAGTATCATAGCAATGAAACAGTTTCACAAATTCACTGAAAATAGAACTGGAAACACCCAATATAAATAGGAATCGTAATGAATCTTCAGGAAACACTGAAATATCTAACCCAATACCTGAATCAGAAAAAGCCATTCGAATGTATAAATCCTGTCCATCAGATTGGAGGTCTTTAAGATCAATCAGATCACCAAACCAAATTGCACAACCACTGCCTTCTTTAATGTCCAAGGTTGAATAGGCCGTACAAGAACAATTCTCTAAGCATTTAGCCCTGCACTCTTTGAGGTTCATACTTTTATTCACCCAAGAATGTGTAGTATCTGGCAGTTTCAGCCCACCAAATTTAATGAATCCATCACCTTTCTGGCAGTCTAAAGGTTTATTACGCTCACATCCCTGAAACCAATCTACTGAGCTTTCTTGTGATTTAAGCTTGAAACCTTTTAAACATTTACAAGGCGGTAGCACGGTATTGACACAGGTCCCATACGCCCCACAAGTCCCATAGTTGTCACAGACATCCCATGGAAAAAAACCGTACCCTTCCCAAGTCTGAGTGTCTTTATTCCACAAATAGCGTTCCCTCCTACTGGAAGTTTGGTTCACAATAACCTTTGTGATTGTTGATTTGTTTCTGAGGTAAAATATGTAGTAAACCTCCTCTGCATTTGAGACTAAGCTGAATGTAAACCATGAATTTGGCTTCAACTGGGGCGTACCACTCATTACAATGCCATTCCAGGGGCCTGTCTGAGCATATTTTCTCAAGCCTTTCCAAAGAACAAAATCAGGATTACCATATGGCTCTATCCCCAGAGTTAAGTCTCCAGGGCACGGATCATTTGGGGTCTTCCAAGCTGATAGTTGGCGATTAAGTCCACTTTTAAAGTCCCATCCAAGTTTCATATCCGCCAGCAAAGTATCAGTTGGATAGTCAAAGCTTTGCCACAAAATACCAGCATTTCTATCCTGTAGAACAAGATTTCCAGAATCCAGGAGCTGCAGTACTGGGTTTTGAGCTTCTTTCTTTGAGTTTGATGCCCAAACAACACTCCCGCTTTGATTGAG